CAATAGGTAATAGGACAAAAGGTGCTTAGAAACTTCCTTGACCAGTGTTTTACATTAAACCTAAATACACTTACATGCATACAAAGTTTCAAAAATTAGTTATATTAACTTCAAAGTTAAGCAATACATTCCTCAAATAGGACAACACGAAAGACCCATAAACTAACTCAGCACCATCTCTGAGATATTTCTAATTTGCCAGTTTTTGATATAAAACAGTTTATTACTTTCCCATGAGGCCATTACACACACCCTGAAAGCTGGATGTTTGACACAACTGAAATATTCTTACCAACATTAAAGTATGATGCAGTTCAACTACACTACACAGGTGTCAGAATTCTCACTAACATAAGACTAAAAGAAGATTTGCAAGTGAACATTTTGACAGAAAAGTAACATAGTTTGTGTTAAAGATATAACAGAAGGATTTCTTTGGTTACACAGGCTTGCGATGGTTTTATTGTCTTGAATTTTTTACGTTTTCTACACTAATTCCTGTACGTTGAATCCGAAAATAATATCCATTTTTCTCCACCACGTACAGATTTATGTCAAAACGTTATATGTACTTTTACATAAGTGAATCTTTTTCATTGAAATCGGGTCACATTTTTTTATGCTTAAAATGTTGACAACCACTAGCTATAGATTTCTCTACACTAATCGCGACGTGGAGTCTTATTAATCATTCTAGAACCCGAACATAAACATGATAATAAAAAATGTTCATTGTGGTAAACGAAATAATAATTTGATCTAAGTAAGAGTGTTTTTTTTTTCTTCTCGATTTGTAAAAAAATCCTTACATGAATATTATTTTCCAAATCTGCCTAGGTGAATTATGGAAAATCCGCTATCAAAACGAAAACAGCTTTTATAAACTATAAATTCGTAGGCCTGTGTTATCAGTGATTCTGCTAGTCCCATATTTCCACAGACGAATGACGAGCTATTAAAATGACTCGACAATGCGGCCACTTTTCACAGAAGATCTTGCAAACGAAAGAAAACCGTCCCTAATGTAGCAATGTAAGACTAGAGGGAAGGCAGTTGGTCATCACCACCCACTGCCAACTCTTGGGCTACTTTTTTTACCAACGAATAGTGAGATTGACCGTCACATTATAACGTCTTTACGACTGAAAGGGCGAGCATGTTTGATGGGACAGGGATTCGAACCCGCGACACGCAGCTTGCGGGTCAAGCTCCCTAACCACCTGGTCATGCCGGGCCTAATTTTATAGCTTAATCTTTTTCAAATTCCGTAAATAATAACAAAACAAATTAAAATAATTTCAGACTAAATATCGCAAAAACTAAGAGTAGTATCAGCTAAATTTCTATTCAGTTAAGTTTGTTTGTAATTAAGCACAAAGCTACACAATGGGCTATCAGTGCTCTCCCCCTCCACGGGTATCGAAACCCGGATTCTAGCGTGGTAAGTCCGCAGACATACCACTTTGTCACTGGGGGCGTTCAGTTAAGTAATAGTTGTCAAAGTATTATAATAAAAACATAATAAGTGTTAATCTTTACTTTTCTTGCAACCGTCACAATGAATTATTTACATAATAAGTGTTAATCTTTACTTTTCTTGCAACCGTCACAATGAATTATTTACATAATAAGTGTTAATCTTTACTTTTCTTGCAACCGTCACAATGAATTATTTACATAATAAGTGTTAATCTTTACTTTTCTTGCAACCATCACAATGAATTATTTTCAATCTTATTAAAACTACGTTGATGTTTTGAATATATTGAATAATTAATTTAATTAATATTTATTTTCTCCTTTTTCTAAACTTTTTTGTTTTCTGAGTAATCCATATAGCTAAACAGAATCTTAAGATTTAACTAAGTTGTCATTATTCAATAAATATCCAAAAATCCTGTTGAATTAGTTTTGAATTTTAAGCTACTTATCGTGTGATAAAATTTCACAGGCAAAGTTTGATCTTTTGTAATTAGTGTCGAAACTTTAAATTGCTTATTATCAAGTATAAATTGGATCAAGAACAGCAGTAAATCAACCATTCAAAGTGTCAACGATGTGATGTTTCATTGAATAACTTGTCTTTTACAAATGACTAACTTAATTTTAACATTCCATGTTAATTCACGTAATTGCCGTTACTAAATTACCAAATCAAAAACGAACCTAGTAATGAATATAGCTGATTTAATATATCGGTTTTGTTTACAATGATTAAACTGTATCAATACATTAGTTGAAATATATATATATATAACAAACTTTTTTAAATAAACAATGATAGCATATTATACCGCGCATTAATACAATACCGAAAAAAAAACCAATGATAGCATATTGTACCGCGTATTAATACTATATCGAAAAAAAACCAATGAGAGTATATTGTACCGCGCATTAATACAATACCGAGAGTTAGAATTACAGTGATTTTGCTGATATTCATAGATGTGAAAAATATTACACAAGATCTATATAAGTATTCCGTGCTCATTAAAATTTTTTATCTTTAAATCCAGTTCCAGCGATTATTTTGTCTGGTATCAAAAAAAGTAAATCCTAGCCAAGTTTTTTTATCAGTTACAAGAGGTTCAATTAAAACACTCTGATGTTGCAGAATAACGTTTTGTGATAATTACAAGTTTAAAGCAATTCAATTTGATTCACGTACTAGATAATACAATATATGGTCAATAGATTAGATTAAGAAATTAGAATAATCAGTGATTTGATCTATAATCATTAACTAGTTCGTAGACAAAGGGCAATCTCTCCATCATGAAAAACAAAAACAGTATTACTTTAAAAAATATCTTTACCTTGCAATGTTGCCCCGCATGGCCAGGTGGTTAGGGGCGCATGGCCAGGTTAATATGTTTAACATTCATAGTTTTTTTTTCTTAACCCGCGAGAATTTATAATTTTCTTCACCTTTTAATATTCCTTTAAAAATGTTTATTTACAAATGTATCAGTTTCTTCAGTTTTAATTCATTTAAAAAAATTAAGCTGTATAATCGAATTTAAAACATCTGAACGTAAAACCAAAACTTTCAAATACGAATCTTATATCTCGTGTCAGTTTCAACTATCTTTGCTATAACTGCAGGTCTGCAGCATAAGAACAAATTATAAAGCATCGAATAACTGAAGCAAGATCCTCAGCTAAAACAAGTTTTATTCAGATACAACAGCAGTGCACTAATATATATATATATATATATATTATTTTATTCATGTTTCATTTTCAAAACATAAACAGACACAAACAGAACGACATACTTCAATATCTATGTTATAGTTGCAGGCCCAAAAATTAACAGAAATATTGGTTGTTTTAGTTCTACTAGAAGTCGAACAAGAACAAAACACGAGGGCTATCTGCGCTAGCCGTCCCTAATTTAGCAGTGTAAGACTAGAGGGAAG